AGTCAGGCACCTCAGTTAACTTGATTGGTTCTAACATGTCCAGGCACCTATGTCTCTAGCTACCTTACATTAGGGTCTTCTGGAATTTTAGGGTCAGGAACAAGTTACCATACTAGTGGTGGGGTGGTACCACGACTCGCCACCACTGGGTAGTGTACCAAGTCCTCAAGGGGTCTAAAAAGGCATTTCTGTCATTCAGTCTAGTCCTGACTTCTCTTGTAGAGGAAAAAACAGTGCTAACAGTATTTTAATAATCCAAAGCTAGAACTCACCCCAACGTAGAATCATCTGGACTAATGTGAGTGGCTGAAGTGTGGTTTGTTCCACATGGACTATTACACTGCCAGGAAAAGGAACTGCCCACAGCTAAACACAATACAGATGAGTCTCAAACACAATGCTTAGCAAAAAAGTCAAGCACAAAATTATACATAGTATAATTTCATTTATATCAAGCCACCTCCCCCCTCCACACAACCAAAAAACAACTCTGGGTGCAGTGGCTCAAGCTTGTAATCCTTGTTATTCTGGAGGTAGTGATCGGGAAGACAGCTGCTCCAGGCCAGCCAAAGCAAGACCCCCATCTCAAGCCATGGCTGGGTACAGTGGCATGTGCCTGTCGTCCCAGCTCCATGAGGAAGCACAAACAGGACTGCAGTTCAGGCCAGCCTAGCATAAAACAAGTCTGAGACTCTGGTGGAGTGGCTCAAGTGGTAGGGCACCTGCTTAGCAAGCGTGAGGCCCCGAGTTCAAGATGTACCACCACCACCACCTAAGCAAAAGCTTTCCATGCAGTTAGAAGGGCGTTTAGTAGTCAGCACTGAGGGGCTGGAGCTACTGGAAAGGCCTACCACTGGGGTACTGTTCATATTCCGAGTTCAGATCGGAGTTCCACAAGCCATCGTGAAGAACCAGCTTCTCTGTAAAACAGACACCCAAATGGTGTCCGCATGGTAAGACCTAGGAGATGGAGCTGCAGGTGACTTTCTTCTTCCTTTTTAAACACGTTTTTATTATTTTGCAGTGCTGAGGTTTGAACTCAGGGTCTACACCTTGAGCCACTCCACCAGCCCTTTTTTGTGATGGGTTTATTCAAGATAGGGTCTCAGGAATTTTTTGCCCAGGCTGACCTCAAACCTCGATCCTCCTGATCTTGGCCTCCTGAGTGGCTGGGATTACAAGTGTGAGTCACCAGTGCCTGCCCTTCCTTATATTTGCCTTTTTTTTTGGTCAGTACTGGGGTTTGAACTCAAGGCCTCAGGCTTGGTATGCACTTAAGCCACTCTACCAGCCCTGTATTTTGTGATGGGTTGAACCACACCTCTAGTCCATTTTGCTCTGGTTATTTTTGGAGATGAGGTCTTACAAACTATTGGTTTCAAACTGTGATCCTCATTTCAGCCTCCCAAGTAGCTGGGATTACAGGTGTATCCACTGGCGTCCAGCTACATATATTACTTTTATGACAGAAAAGTTACGCCAAATTTCATTTTATAAACTATGGTCTACAATGCTCCACAGACTGACTTGGAAATGAAGAAATGTTCCCAAAGACAGCAAGGGAGAACCACGGCCCAACTAAACCCAGAAAGAACATTTACAAAATGCTCTCAGCACGAGCAAAATCCTGAATTGCAGTGCTGGGTTTTGCACTGTCATCAAGAGCCCTGCATGAGGCTGGCACCCGAGGATTATGGGGATGAGGGGAGCAGCAGGGTCACAGAGGCACTCTCCAGACACCTAGTACACATGTTCCTGTCCTCGTGCTGGAATGCCCGCTGGAATTCAGTCTGGCCTGGACCCAGGCTGCCCGCAGCCCCCAAAACTGGCTCCTCGCTCCAGACTGCTCAAGTGCAGTGATGGCGGGGGGAAGACAGGGCTTTGAGGCCTCACGCTCGCTCCTCTGCTGGCTGCTGTCTTTCCCCGCCACTCCGTTGTGAGTGACTATGAGTCACTCTGAGATAGGCTAAAATCAGGGAAAGTTCGGGACTCAGAGAAAAACATCACATCTCAGATTAACCGCACTTTGGCTCAGGAACCACCGTCACCTGGCTGGGACACCTGCCCCCCCACGCACTGATTACTGCCGGGAATCACCTGGCTCTCTCTTCCCGTGGGTTCCCGTGGGTTCCGGAACGGGCTCTTTCCCGGGCCCCTTTGTGTTTCCCTCCCTAACCTCTAAGGCTCCCTTCACACCACGCGTCCTGCCATGGAGTCCTCCCTCGGCCACCTGACCGCACCAGCGCCGTTGTCACCAATTCTAAGGAGGGCTCAGTATTAAACTGAGCTATGCCTGGCCCCACAGAAAGGACGTGAACTTATCTTACAGCACATCCTCAAGATCAAACATCACCAGGTTTTGGTGTTTATGACCTAAACCTGAAAATATTTTTATGAGCCAGCCAAGCTTATTAAGTCTGAACTGAGCGGACTCCCAAGGACACCCACACGCCGGGCCAACTGCTCTGCATCACCGGAGCAGACACCTCACTGGCTTCCCAGTCCTACCTCGTGCTCTTGGCGCAGCTACACGTCTCGAAGCCACAGGCTTCCTTTGTTAAGCCCAGCAAGAGAAACGGACTGAGAGCCTCCGCAGCTTTCCTCCGGGAACACCGCATCCCGGCTTCCCGGTGCGCACACTAGCAGCTGGCTGGCCTGTTAGCCTCTGAGCCTCTGCTGCTCCAAGCCCCCTCCTCCCTTCCCTTAACTGCCTCCTACTCAGATGACACCTCCTCCAAGAAGCTGTCCGTGGCTCTAAGTTGGGAGAAGCCAAGCAAGCCTGCTGAGCAAATCATCAGTTAGTTTCTTCAGAAGCAGAGAGCAATGGCCCTGCCTGATGTGCCTAGACTTGATTCCAGCTTTGCTAATATTTGCCTTTTTCTTTTTGTAGGACAAATCCATAGCCTTGTGCACCCAATGCAAGTGCTCCACCACTAAGCTACACTCCCAGCCCATGGTACCTTTTTTTTTTGGTGGTACTGAGGTTTGAACTCAGGGCCTCACACTTGCTAGGCAGGCACTCTTACAGTCCAACCACTTCACCAGCCCTTTCTTGTGTTGAGTTTTTTTGATAGGGTCTCACCATCTATTTGCCTAGGGTTGGCTTCAAACTGTGATCCTCCTAATCTTTGCCTCCTGAGTAGCTAGATTACAGGCATGAGTCACCAGCACCCAGCCCCTGGTACCCTTTAAAAAAAGTCCTAAGAGGTAAATTAAGCAAATTGGTGACATCTGAGGTCTTCCTAGAGGAAGAGACCATTCACCTTGATACCTTTCTACCAAGGTAGACCAGAATGGATTCAGCAGCTTAATCTCTCAACTGATAGGGCAGGGCTCCTACAACACACCGAATCCAGCTGTGATTAGATCTGAAGAGTGAATTACAAAACCAAAATAACCCTGCTCAGGAAAAGAAGTTGCTTCTTGGGTTATGCTGGGCACAGAGTCCTGTGAAGAGCTTCTCTGACAGGCAGATGGCCTAGACAGGGACGGCCATCTTACAAAATTAAGAAAGAAACAACAAACACTTATCTCCTCTATACTAGGAACAAAAACAGGAGTCTCAGCACGGAAAGCAGCCAAACCCTAAAGCAAACTTAAGTCTTGCCCGCTTCCACCTCCAGACTCAGTCATATAGCAAAGCCCCCTTCTATTTACCCCTCTCTTCAGGCGACATCACAATCTTGGTAACTGGATTTGGAAGAGAAGGGAGAACGGTAAAATACTCCAACCATGGCAAACTCCACGAAGGCTCTTGCTGGAAGGTAGGATGCATAAGCCAACAGCAGCTACTGGCTCATCTGTGATCTTCCAACCTGGCTGGCCAGAATGACCTGTCTTTTAATGAAAGACAGACTGCCAGGCCCCACTAGAGAACATCAAGTCACACTCTGAGTAGGGGACACAGAACCAACCATAAAAATGTACCTCAGTGATTCTGATCAGATTAGGACACTGGTGAGGACCGTGTGATAATGCATTTCTAAAACGTTGATAGAGCCACTGAAAGTGAGATCCCTCTGCACTTTGTCCTTTCCCATGGAGGGTAACTTTTAAGTAGTATTTTTTAATTTGGCAGAAACCCCCCTCCCACCCCCACAGTCTTGCCCTGTGGAAGGACTTCAGCCCTATTTCTCAAAGTGGAAAGGACACTCCTGCACTCTGGGGTCGGTAACTTGCTCCAAGGCGCTTGTTCTGCAGAGTGTGGCATATTTATCGTCTCTGGCCATAACTCCTCAACAAAGCGGTGGCTCCCTGGTCACTGTGATAAGCAAAACATACCCTCTCATTTCCTGAAGGACTCCTGGATGCCAGTTCAAATCCTGCCTGAGAGCCACTGGCCTCTTTCCCAACCTGCTTTTGGAGGGAGGAAGGGCCCAACAGACAAGTTTCCATCATAATTTTGTCCTTCCTTTCAGCAGTGCTGGGGATTGAATCCAGGGCCTCTCGAATGCCAGGTAAGCGCTCTACCACTGAGCTGCACCCAGCCCAAGTTCTGTGTCCAGCCTCTACATCTGCCTGTCCACAGAGGTACGTTCTGGACTGACGTTTCCAGTGCTCTGCGCCTGCTCGGCTTAAATCTCTCATCACAGATCTGAACTCAGGAGTGCCCTACACTCAGGAGAGGAAGAAAGGAGCTGTCAGCTTTCCCTAATCATCCACGATGACAAATAAATCTTAAGAGACAAAGTGAGAAACTGATTTAGTTGTTACAGAATGTAAACACTACCATAATTCCAACCTTCCACTTTAAAGATGCTTGTCATTGTATTTCTGTTGGAAGAGAGTGTTACTATTGAAGAGAAAGAACTGTAACGACTATTTTTGATTGAGCAGTTTTATTCTGTTTGGAATAAAAACCTTGCTTTAATGTTGGAAGGTGCACTGCAGGTATGCCGTGCTGCCAGTCATTATTGGGACAACAACGCCCCAGTCAGTGATCCAGAGGGCTGGGACACGTGTGAACTCACATTTCAGAGCGTGCAGAACTGGTATGTACAGTTTCTCATCCTGATATCCACCTGGACAACATCTGACGACACAGGCGTCACCACAGCACTTGCTTTGCTGCTCAGGGTACCCCAGCTTGAGTTCAGTGTCATGATCTGTGGGACCTCCAAAGGTTTGGTTGTTAACATGCAAAGAGCACTAAACAATATAATCTAAGCTATGGTTGCCAAGTACTGGTTCTTATTAGTGAAACCAAATTACAAAACAGTTCCTTGTAGATCTATACAAAAGATATAAAATTAAAATTAAAAATACCAGCCATCTTTAAATATTCCAATTCGACTATGGTGTAGTGCTGCACATGTTACACTGAATGTTTTTAAGGAGAAAGTTAACAAAACTCAAAACAGATAAAAATATTGAAATCTTTGGATCCCTTTATTCCACGGCCTTCGTAAAAACATGAAAGTGGCCAGATATTTTCAACTACAGCTTAAATATCAAAAAGATTTCTCAGTAATTTATAGTTAACAATGAACTCTGTGCTGAGTCATTTGTGGGTCACAGGCCCGAGGACCAATGCTAATGGTGTGCCACAGGTTGCCAAAAGAATTTTCAACACTCCGAATCCTCTTGCAACATAATGGAACGCGTCGATGTCACCACAACAAAACTCCAGGCATTGCAGAAGAGCAGGTTAATCGATGCCTCGCTTGAATGTCTTAGAAAATGGGCAGAGTTGCTTTTTTGCAAATACAGCTAAGCACATTCTTGTCTACGATTATTTACACTCACATACGGAAATGTCTATTATTTGGACAAATCCTGTGATACGCCCTTTGCTACAAAATGACATTCTCACACTGAGCAGGAATAAGTTATCCTTTTTAGATAATGGAAGAACATATCAAATCTTCATTTATGTTCCAAACATTAAAAAAAAAAAAAAAATCAAAAACTGAAAGCCTGGGAAAGCTAGGAGGAAAAGAGCCGCCCATAACTTGGTCCTCAGCGCGCAGACTCTTGCAAAGACACACTATGCTTGCTGACTTTAAAATGTTTATTCTTTAAAAAATTAGTTGCTTTTTATACAGCTATACAAACTTTGTAACGTTTCTTTGGCAATGGAATATAATGGAATTTTACAACTATATAAAAAAGTTACCTTTGCCTAAGAAACAGCATTTACTGTGTGTACAGAGTTGACTGACAAAATTCTCTACCATCCAGCACCCTAATTAATTGACGAAATAAGCTACCTCATATTATAGGATTTCCGAAAAGAAAGAAACACGCACACACACACACACACACACACACACACACACACACAACCTTCTGTGGCTCAAAACACAGTATCACGGCCCTATCTGCAGGCAACTTGCCAAATACAATTTAGTGATAAGAAAAATCCTTTCAGTGATGAAAAAATACTTAAGAAGTCCCACTGAAGTACAGCTTTAGTTTAACTCTACATAAGAAATTACTAACCATCTGCTATTCCAAATATATTCAATGCTCATTCATTAAGACGAGCCTCCCCCCCCCAAAAGAAACTGCATTGTATCTCTGAAATTAAGCAGAAAATAAACAAAACCCAGTGCTGGTGACAAATATACAGCAAAGTCACTTCTTCATTCTTCACAAAGACTGAAACCAATTTGCAGGACCAGGAAGAGTGAGAAATTCACCTATTTTCAAAGACTTGTCTGGAGACTATGCAGCAACTTTGTCGTCTTTCTGAAAAGAAAAAGAAAAAAGTTCACGTTCTACATTGCTGGCTTACTAACTGGGCTTTCTTGTCAGTTTGTCTAAGTTTAAATACACCCTTCCTTTCATGTTTGCTGATTTCTGCATCCAGCAATAGCTTCGTTCTATTCACTTCCTTTTCCAGTCAGCAATGACGAAAGCAGCGGCATTGTGGGGTGGCCTGGCAAGAGCACCCTAACATACAGGTGTACCCTCCTACCTTTGGTTGTCCTCAAAAATTAAAAAAAAAATAGTGCTATAACTTGAACTTTCCGCTTGGTCAAACCCATCAAACACTCTTTTGAGACAAGCTTCATAAAATTCCTAAGTCTCAGATGTCTCTACTAAGCAACAAAATATCCAGAAAGTAAAATGACATTGTGCCGAAAATTCGAAGGCAAGAGAAAGCAATGATTTAGGAATTGATTTTTTAAAAATAAATGTTAAATTTGAAATAAGGTGTGAAAATGGAGTTGATTGGGAAAATTTAAATAAAAACCCACAGGAGTTTTCTAGTGGGACTACTCCTGAACTACATGCTCTACAGCGCCAGAGCCAGGCCGTGTTTTCCTCCAGACCAGCTGCCACCACAGGTGGCCCTGTGTATCCTTGGTTTCTGCATCTGCACTCAACCAGTTGCAGACAGAAATGTGCAGTGGGGGGCACGCGGCAGGCTATGTCTGTGCTGAGCACGTACAGACTTTGTTTTTGTTGTCATGAACCCTCAACAACAGACTGTTTATAAGACCACTATATTAGGTCCTGAAAGTCATCTAGAGGCGAGCTCAGGGCAGTGAGCGTGCTGGCACATGAGACCCTGGACTCGGTCCCTAGCACCTCCCCCAAAATAAGCAAAGAAACAAACAAATAAGAGGATACTGCACTGTCTTCTATATAGGATTTTGGTATGCATGGGGTCCTGGAGTACATCCCCTGTGGACACTAAGGGTGGCTATACCTGATTTTTACTGCTGATGCTTCCACTGATAGATGCTTCCTGGGCGAAAGACTTAGCTTCACCTGTGCACTCAACACCAAGCCACCTTCACAATGTCATTAAACTAAAGCATATGGCTTGGTGGGAACTGGCTTAGAAGTAAGTGAGCTGGATGAACCTGTTCCCCACCAAAACCAACCTTCACACCTCCCGATTTATTTAGCGATTTTTTTACCTTTCAGAAAGCAGTACGACCAATCCAGACCTTTTAGGGCCCAAAAGTTGTGGTTTTCTGAAAGGTAAAAAAAAAAAAAAAAAAGATAGAAAGGAGAGAGGGACACAAGGGGTCGGGGGAGAGAATCACGCTGTCATTCAGATAGCTCATTGTCTCTGGACCCTCCCTGAAGAAACACAGATGCAAATGCGGTTCCCCCCACCATGGTGATGCAATCTACTTGGCAGTGCATATAAACTATGAGCTGGCTACACTCTTATCATACCCCGCCCCCACCCCCAAAAAACCCAAGGGAAAAGAAAAAAGCCCCACAGGACCAAAAGTTCATGTTGCGCCCCAAGTCTAACTGTGAGTTTTAGCTTTAGCTTTTTAACCTCCTAGGCTCCTTGGCTTAGCAATCACCTCACAGGGTGGGGAGGAGAGAGGCTTAGAATAGTTGATTCTTTTACAATCTTACCTTCACTTCTGTTTTTGTTTTTTTTTTTTTAACTGGGGCTTGAACTCAGTGCCTCCACCTTGAGCCCCTCCACCAGCTCTTTTTTGTGAAGGGTTTTTTTGAGATAGGGTCTGGTGAGCTATTTGCCCAGGCTGGCTTTGAACTGCGATCCTCCTGATCTCTGCCTCCTGAGTAGCTGGGATTACAGGTGTGAGCCACCAGTGCCCGGCTTCACTTTGTTTTCACTGAAGTTGGCTTATGCTCATCCTCAAACTGTAATTCCTCATGGCAATACCAGCACAGCACGAAGAACAAAGCCAGCTCTTCCTGAAGGCTGCTGAGGGGCACAAACATCTGGCTGTGGGCAGAAGCACTACATGATGCTTCAGAAAAGAGTTCCTGGCCAGAGGTGAGCCCTCTTCACGTGCAGTGACCACTGTCACTCTTTCCAACTTTTCAAGGTGTCAGAGGAGATGCATTACAAGGTACATGCTGCTGAGGCCAGAGCTATAGTTAAAGATGGAAGGTCATTCAAGTCTGCAATGGGCAGTCTAGCACTAGCCACAGCAATGGAGCTTGGGCCTCACAGAGAGCTGAGGGAGTGAATTCCTAATCAACACAATAAGCAATTACTTCAAGTCTACTGTGCTTGCATGCTGAGAAAGGTACTGGGGTTTGAACTCAGGGGCTCATGCTTGCTAGGCAGGCATTCTACCACTTGAGTCACTCCTCCAGCAAAAAATAAGCTCTATGCCAAACAAAATGCATGAGGTAGGGAACAATGAGTGTATTTAAAATGTATGCTGATGAAAGCAGATACCACAGGTATCAGAAAAGAAAGCAATCAGTACAAAAAAGGAAGAGAAGTTTCCAAAGACAGAGCAAACCTCGGGCATGGCTGGAAAGGGTGAGTAAGAGGGGAGGCCTGGCTTTAGCTATGTCTGTCTTCCCACGGGACTGTATCTGTCTGTTGCCACCAACGCCCAGCAGAACACTTGGCACAGATAAAGAATTCTGTTTAACTAGCACATGAATGAGGCTGGAGTTGAATCAAGCAGTGTGTGAGAGATGACTGTGAGCTAGCCTGCTTGAATCACACAGCTTAAAGGGTAATGAGAAATGGGGCTGATACAACAAGTAGGGACCCTCACACAGTAAGAAAAGCAGGCAGGGCAACAGAACATCCAACTTAGCCATTAGGGCAGTGCTTCAGGGTCCCCAAAGTCTAACACTCCTTGACAAACCCAAGCAGAGGGTGAACTGCCTGTCAGGAGTACAATAAAGTAAAGACGCAGGAGATAACTTCTGTAATGCACTGGAATCCTTCGGCACACTGACTGAGGTCTAATGAAAGTTTCAAGATGACTATGTAATAGGACATGACTTAAACAAATATTTGTATTAATAAGTGCATGTAGCATGCACACAGAGGGAAGTCAATGGTGAGGTCTGTTCATGAATGTTCAGAGAAAGGACCATGATAATCTGGTCATACAGAAAACACATTTGTCTTTCGCCCTGAAAAAAAAGGAGAAAAAAAAAGCATGGGTCTATGAGAGAGCCTAACAGTGAAGCAGTTGTGGGTGGGGCAGATGCCCAAGGGAAGAACACATTCCCGGCCCCATAAGAGATACTACAGAAGACATGTATGGTTCTTATTGGATCTTGAAAAGGTGTAGTTGAGTTTAAACCGTGCAACTCTCTTTCTACAAATGTGGAAACTGACCGCCTGTATGGCTTAGTAACTCCAATGAGGCCACACTAGTGACGAGTGCTATAATTCTCATCTGGTTTCAGGCTTAATTTAATGGACTTTTTCTCAAACTGTTTAAAAACTTTTGACTCAGTGTGGACCTCAACAGGGGTTGTCCTTGGTGCTTTAACAGGGGACTGATGAGTCTAAGGTGGAGTGAAGACAGACTGAAGGTCTACAGACCTATCTGCAGGATATCCCGGTAGTTGGCAGGGACTTTTCATTCATTCTTTCTTTTTTTTGGTGGGACCGGGTTTTGCACTTAGGGCTTCACGCTTGCAAAGCACACACTCTACAGCTTGAGCCACAACCAGGATATTTTACTTTGGTTATTTTGGAAATGGGGTCTTGTGAACCCAAGGTTGACCCAAGGCTTGAGCTGGCCTTGAACCATATCTTCATCTTAGTCAGTCTTCTTCCCTAACTCCCTTCCCCCCCCCCACTTTTATTGGTTGTACTGGGGTTTGAATTCAGGGCCTTGTGCTTGCTAGGCAGGTGACTACTGCTTGAGCTACAGCCCCAGTCATTTTTGCTTTAGTTATTTTTTGGATAAGGTCTCACATTTTTGCCCAGGGCCAGCCTGGACTATGATCCTCCACCACTATGCCTTGTTGGTTGTTGGTTGAGATGGGGTTTGAGGGGGATGGCCTCGAACTGTTCCTCCCGATCACTGTCTCCCAAGTAGCTGGGATTATAGGTACCACATCTGGCCTGGCAGGGACATTTCAAAGGAATGAAGGTGGTGAGATGGAAATGGGCCATGATCACAGACACCTCTACAACCTGGGAAGCCAAGAGGAAACACTAAATGGAGGCAGACCTGAGATGAAGGGAGAGCAGGAAAATGTCAGGTCAGTCTGAAAAGGCTGACAGCAAGACAGAAACATTTCAGGTCCAAACTGAAACACTGACTAGCGTCTAAGTGGATGAGTTCACAAAAGAGGGAAAGAATGCTCAAGCAAGTAAGTGTATGGGAGTGTGTAAACACGAGCACACACTCACAAAAAAGGGAGCTGGACGTTCCAGGCAGGATAAACAGGTAGAGAAGACCAGGATAGAACAAGCTTGGTGCTGAATGAGAGCCAGAGGCCAGTGCACCTACAGCAGAATGAGTGAAGGAGACAGTGGTCTCTCTGAGGACACAGACCAGAGCCTGCACCACCAGGAATGACTGTAAAGCATTGTACAAGCTGTGCTGAGGAGCGCTTGGTTTGCTAAACAAAGGACAAGAGTTTAAAGAGGGGTGTGGTGGTGCTTGCCTATGATCCCAGCACGAGGGAGGCTGAGGCAGAAGGTTTACAAATTTGAGACCAACCTGGGCTAAGTAGCCCTGTCTCAAATAAGCAAACAGAAGAAAAAAAGAGTATTAAAAAAATTAAGATAATGGGTGGCAGAGATCTGGAGGATCATGATTCTGATCTGACCTGGGCAAAAAGTTTGCAAGATCCCATCTCAACCAATGGCTGGGCATGGTGGAGGCCGCCTGTCATCCCAGCTACCTGAGGAAGCACAAATTGGAAGACTGTGGTCTAGGCTAACCTGGGCATGAAATAAGACTCTACCTGGAGGAGTGGCTCAAGGGGTAGAGTGCCTGCCTAGCAAGCATGAGGCCTGAGTTCAATCCCCAGTACTGCCAAAAAACCCCAAAACACAACCAAAAAATAAAATAAGATCCTATCCCCAAAACAAAGAACACATAAAAGGCTGGAGGCATGGCTCCAGTGGTGGACCACCTGCCTAGGAAGTGTGAAGCCAAGTTTAACCCCTCACTTAAACTTTTTTTTTTCTCAGCAAAGAAAAAAAAAAAGAATTTAAGAAGAGAAAGAACATTCTAAGTTTGCTGGCTGATTATTAATGTCAAACACCGTAAATTTTTAATTCTATGCTCAAGGCTATCAGCAACTTCACGAGCAGCAGTGAAGAACGAGAGCCAGTCCCGTTTCCAAGACAGACCCTGAGTTGGGATGGTGACAGTGCTGCCAGTGTGAGCTGGTAACCTAAGGCTGATCTCAGCAGTCTTGGCGCTGCTGGTGCAATCCCAAAGGCAGGTCCAAAGGCCACCAATACTGACCTCTTTCCAGAGCGATCAAGAGTGGCCACTTTTATTCACTGGATGATAAAATTCCTGCCAGCGGGTCTTTCTGTTGCCAGCTGTCCTCTGCTATGACTCTCCTTATAAGAAAGAGACTTTGGCCCTTCCCATTACATTTTTCCTCTCCACTCTTCCTAATGTCAATAAACCAAGAGTTTACTACAGAAAGGACAGTTACTACACTGCCTTAATTTAAACACCATTCATTAGATAAATTATGTACACTGTACACTACACAAAGCTACAGAGCCCTCTCATAGCAGCTCCCAAACTTGAGACCATGGTAAAAAAAAATAAGAAAACCAGGGAAAACGTAGTGAAGTTTTCCCCAAAACTAAATTAAGAGCAGTGACTCGGAAACCAACTCACCAGCTGTGTCCTCAGCATGCAGCCTCCTAGCTGTGTGACCTTGGGCAAGTTATTTAGGTAGCTCTCTGCATCCTTGTCCTCGTTTATAACATTTGGGTAAAGTAGGGTTAGTTACTATGTGAAAACTTTCAGCACAGTAGTACTTGTTAACTGCTGTGAAATGGCTAAGTGCTTTCCATCCTGGGGGTAGGTGCTTCCTACAAATGTAAAACTGCCATAATATGAAATAAAGGTGATTCTATATAGTTTTCCTTTTTTGTACACTATCTTTATTCCAGTCCATAAAATCTAAAAACTATAGTTCTCTGGTAAAAAGACAAAGAGGAATGCCCAAAATTTAGGTCCTACTTCCTTCAGTTGAAGGCAACACAGAAAAAAAAATTTTTTTTGACACATTAGCCAAGAAGTTAATGCTCTTAAAATTGTAGCTGTAAGGCTGGGATGTAGCTCTGGTAGAGCACCTGCCTAGCATGTGCAAGACTCTGTGTTCCACTCTGGGAATTAAAAAATGAAGAGACAAACAAAACAACAACCAAAAACATATGTATCATCCTAATCAGGTCTATTCTCCATAGAAGTCAGGAATCTACACTAATAATCTCAAAAAAAAAAAAAAAAAAACCCTCACGTAAATGAGATGAAAGTGAAAATGTTCTGAGTTTCATAAACAGAATGCTAACCCAGAAGCATGTAACACTCACCCTGTATTCAAAATCTGCAAACTCCCTGCCCCCGCGACCTCCTCTGAAGCCACCTCGAAATCCTCCTCGAGGGGCAGTGAAGGTCCCTCCTCTGCCACCGCCTCGCCCTCTGCTGCCACGGAAACCAAGACCTCCTCTGCCTCTGTAGCCACCACGCCCACGACTTGGACGGAGTGGGATGCCAAATGTTTCTGCATTTAACCTTCTTTCTTCAGCCCAGGTCGGTCTTCTTTCTCTATATATGACAAAAATAAATGACCTTCAGCACACCAGGCTTAAAAGAACATTTCTCTATAAAAACATGTAACATTAATTCCCAAATTAAAGATAAATTTAGATTTCTACAGGTCAATTAAAAATAAGCATTCCACTGAACTTACTGCAAGCTATTCATGGCATACAAGGTCAGTACGTTCCTACAATGTTCTGTTTCATTCATATGAAAACATGACTGATACTAGTTTTGCACAAATACACTCTCTGAAACAAATATAATAAAAGTCCCAATACAATGGTCATTCAGATATAAGGGGACTTACAATTGACTCCTCAGTTCCAATGGGAGGAAACCCCTATCTTGAGGAAGCTAGGAGATGGAGGGTAGGTTGCCAAGTCTTCAAGACTGTGGCCCAAACTCTGGATCTGATGCCAATTAACTCAGCAAGTTTCTGATTGTCCCTGCTGTCACTCAGTCTAGACAACAGCAGGCAGGACTGACTTATCCTCCCCAGCCATGTTTAAACTGAAGCAGACAACTGCCACTAGATGGCACCAAATTGCGTCCAGGACAAAAAACTGGGCAACAGAACTCCAGGGACATTCAGGTTCTTAGCGCTGAATTCTTTCGCCTCACAAGAAATTGACAATTTTCTGGAGTCACAAATACCATCATTTGGCATAGTTTAACTATATCAGAGAACCCTAAAGAAACATCTCTTTCAGTTCTGGCATCCTTTGAATTACAGAGTAAGGGTTAAAGGAAAAGGTCTTACTTAGATGTTACATGTTTAATTACTAATACACATTACATCCCTAAACAAAAGCATGTGGTTATTTCTTCTTTTTTTTTTTTTTGCTGTGGTGCTGGGATGGAACCCTGGACCTTGCACTTGCTAGTAAAGCAGTTTACCACTGAACTATATCCCTAGTCAAAATTTATTTTTTTCTTTTTGATTTGGGGAGCTGGAAATTGAACCTGGAGCTGTGTGCATGCTAGGCAAGCCCATATTTCTTCCTTTTAAGGAATTTAATTTAAACATTAGTGCAAGTCTTTTAGGAAAACAAAACATTAAAAAATCAATTGTGGTCATTAGACAGTAAGCATTATTATACCTTATGGGCTTATATGAAATCATTTTACACATCAACATACCTGTTATCATCACAAGAGATATTATCAAAGAAGGACTTAGTTTTGTCATAGTAGCAGTTGGGCCCCAGGGGATCTTCTTCATCAGCATTTCCTTCACTGTTTTGGGTGTCGACTCCTGAGTCTCCTTTATCTTCACCATTGACGGGCCTCTCCTGCTTCTCAAGTTTATCTTCTAATGAAAAACAAGCACATGCCATAAATAAAATTAAACATCTCATCTGGAACACATCCTTAATTCACAGATCAACTTATTTTCTGAGAAGAGTTAAAGCTTACCTTTTAATTTAAGTTTATTATGAAACTCTCTGTCGATCTCCTCCTTGTTAAATTGTGCATTTGCACTTTCAAAGTCAAAGTCTTTCTCAAATTTCATAGGGCCATCTCGCCGAATACCAAATCTTCCCCTGCCACCTCGATGACCCCCACGCCCTCTCCTTGGAGCTGAAGGAGCACCTGGAACTGTGTTCGTAAAGAATACACAAAGGACATTCAGCATGTGCTAGCTGCCTCAGGACAGTTATCGTGGTCTTCACACTACATGGTTGACAACAGAAATGATTAAGTTTCTAGATATGTTACTATATTTGTATTTTCACATAAAAAGAAATTAAGTGGCTAAAGATTTAGTCTGCAGAAGACGAACAGCACACAAATCAGTCGCCATTTACACTGATGGGAGCAACGCTTGTCTCTGTGTTACTGGAGTAACCAAACAAGTCTGGAGACTTGTTCTCACTGCCATGGTCCCCAGACCCACAGTGGGTTCTCAAAACATAAAGCCTTGTCTGGAGAGGGTAATGGGAAACGAGAGGAAGGGTTAGAAAAGGAAACCAACACTGGTCAACACAAGTCGAAAGGCGCTCCTGTGTCTATGGATTTTCTTTATGTGACACCACGGTGGATTTCACAGTCACATGAAATAGGATAAAGTAATATGAAGTGAAAACTTGGGAACCCAAATGCCCAACAGCAGAGGAACAACTAGGAGACAGTAACAGGATGACTGTATGCTCACCGTGTGAGACATGGCACACCGACTGGATCTGAGAAAACCAACCACAGACACAGAGCGGCTCCAGACACTCAAGTCTGGACAAGTTTTGTCACCTGCCAAGACGATTTGCCTTTTTGAAAAATGTTCTGAGAATATAAAATCTAAGGAAAAATCTGAAACTCACTGTTGTGTTAACGAACCTCGAACCTTGGTGGTGGGAGAAGCTGGTGGGTTTCAAATGAAAGATATTTTTATTCATTACTTTGTATAATGTGTACACGATAAATTACTTTGAAAGGAGAGTTCTCTTTTGCAAATAAGACAAAGCAAACTAAAATAAATGTATCTAACCAGAACCTTTGTATCCCATGGTACAGAGCCCAGAGAAAAACGTAAGAAGGTGTGGAGCCAGGTATAGCCCAACTACCTGGGAGGCTGGTGCAGGAGGGTCACTGGAGCCCAGGAGCTCGAGGCCAGACCAAGTCTCCAAAAAACAAAAACCTCAAAACAAAAAAACCTGTTCACACATTTATCTTGGTTTCTAAAATTAGGTGTGAAAATAAATTACTTTCCAATCATTATCTAAGTAAGGTAACTATCCATCACCTTTTTTTTTTTTTTTTTTAGTTTGGAAGAGTTTTCAATTATACTTTGTTCTCCATTAATAAATTTGGAATGAAGTGGATGCTTTGGAGATGTTACAGATTACCAAACAAGTGAAGGAAATGTAAACTTATTATGTCAAAACCATAAAAGGAAATTAAAGTCTTTAAACTACTTTAAAAAAAAGGCTCTGCTAATTCCTGCGGCGGCACACCTGCTGAAACGGGAAGACCAGTGAAGATCAGCATGGCCCCTATGCAAAGATGACACGAGGATTCCTGAAGCAGTCCAGAAAAAATGGTTTTCATGAGGAAAGTTTTAAAACTTGTAAGGTACATATCCATTCTTAAACTCAGAGAAAACAATGGATTTTATAGTGGGCAACAAACTGATGCAAAAACAAACACTGAAGTAGAAGGCATACCACACGCACAAATCCTACTCAGAGGTAACACCAAAGAATAAATACAGTGAGACGCAACTGCCTACTATCAAACCAGAGCTTTCTCCAGAAAATATATTTATTTAAAACATTGTGATTTTAGGATACGGTAGCTATAAACACTGAAGAAGTAGTACAGAGTGGTCCTCTGTGCCCAATGCACATCATCAAGATTATCAAGCTGACACTGGCAAAATACAATTAACTAAACTTCAGACTCCATTCAGAAGGCACAAGGTTTTTTTTGTTTGTTTGTTTGATCTCAAGGTCTCGCACATGCTCAGTGGACACTGTACCTCTTTAGACACTTCCCCAGCTCCAGATGTCAGCAGTTTTTTCCTGTCCTCATCTTCTGCTGTCTTTATGTACAGGTCTGTGCCATTTACCAGAGATCTACACAGCCACCACCATAATCAAGATGAAGACACTGCTCTATCCTCGCAGAGACACCTCCCCTGGGACCAGTAATATGTATCATACAGTTAAAACGTTTTCTACATTGAGAAGCACACAGGACATGGCTTTTGGATGGTAGTAACTTACCTACTTGTCTCTTGCTATCATTTCTGAGTTGCTCATTTTCTGGCCTTGGAACTTTGTGCACTTCAGCTATACAAGGAGACATGCAAAGTGACATATCAACTCAGTATACATAACCAAAAACTTCCCAAAGTTAGAAATGGGGTTGGGGAGGATAACCCAAAACCAACAAATAATCTGCATAAAACTAGACTCCCACCCCTACTTGAGTCAAATTTAAAGATGAAGCACTGTTCAGGCTGGTGTGAAATTCACGACTGTCCAGACTCAGCTTTCTGATTGCTGGGATTACAGGCATTTATCATGCCTGGCAAATAACCTCTCTCTCTCTCTGGGATCAGACCTAGGATCTCAGGAGTGCTAGGCAAGCAGTCTACCTCTGAAATAAATCCCCAGCCCTTAAACATTCTATTAAGTTCCAAGTAACCCTTCTAGGGTTATTCACATAATGCAAATGTTATTAATGCAAATTAGGAGCCAGATGCTGCTGGCTCACACCTGCAATACTAACTATTCAGGAGGCAGAGATCAGGAAGATGGAAGTTCCAGGCCAGTCCGGACAAAATGAAAACAAGATCCTGTCTCAAAAACACCCAGTGAAAAAAGAGCTGGCAGAGTAGTTGAAGTGGTAGAGCACCTGCCTAGCAAGTGTGAGGACCTCAATTCAAACCCTAGCACTATTGCAAAAGAAAAAGAAAACAGGAGAATGAAACGTGTTGGTGAGTCAATTCAGGATGAACAGACAGCTGAAGCTCTACCTCGCCTGTGCTCCTGATTCTCTATTGCTTTCTGGCTGGTGGATGGCAAAGGCCTGGTTGACACAGGGCTCCTTCTCCCAACAGGCGCTGGGGTCGGTAAGTGGGCTGAGGCGGTCTGAGCTGCTTGTTCCGTGGTTGGACTTTTTCTCAAAGTGTCTAATTGAGGGCTTGAACGACCTAAAATGTAACCAAAAGATAAGAAGCTACCTTAATTGGGGATTTCAAGATAACCTAGACCATGAAAACAAAGCAAAATAGCTGGAGTTTTATTTTTACCAATTCAAAGTCACAAATTTGAATCTACTTTTTTTTTTTTCCAGTACTGTGGCTTGAACTCAGGGCCTTCACCTTGAGTCATTCCACCAGCCCTATTTTTGTGAAGGATTTTCTGAGATAGGGTCCCTCAAACTATTTGCCCAGGCAGGCTTCAAACTGTGATCCTCCTGATCTCTGCCTCCTGATCGCTGGGACTAGAGGTGTGAGCCACTGGCGCCTGGCTCGAATCTACTTACTACACCAGAGTTTAAACTTGGTTATTTGTAGTGGCCTAGCCCTCAACCTAGCAAGAAAAAAAAGCAAACAAAATCCTCTACCTCCACAACCTACTCTGTGTTTTTATCTAGTAGAATAAATTTTTTCAAAAATTGCTACCTGTTACAAGATTCCCTAGGCATTTTATGAAAGATAACACCGTAAGTGGGTGGAATGGAGGCTTCCCTCAAAAGAACCACCCCAGATTATGCTGACATGTAGCTTTTTTAGCACTTTCTGTGGATGACTAAAGCAACAGCTTGCCATTGAGTTCTATCACAAGAGTAAAGAAGACAGTGAGGTCGGTGGACCTTAGATGCCTTAGGGGCTTAGGCAATTAAACATCAAATCTAAAAGGCACCACAGGGGCCACTGGCTCACGCCTGTGATCCTAGCTACTCTGGAGGCAGAGATCAAGAGGATTGTGGTTGAAAGCCAGACCCAGGCAAATTGTTTGTGAACACTATCTTAAAAAAATTCTTCACAAAAAAGGGCTGGCGGTGTGGCTCAAGGTGTAGGCCCTGAGTTCAAACCACAGTACAGCAAAAAACACCAAACAAAGACTAAAAGGCCCGCAAGAAATAAACCCTTTAGATGATGGCATGGTGCCACTCATTCCTTGCCGTTCTAGAGCTCTCCTGATGGTCTTTATTTACTTTGGGGTTTGTACTTACACCTCCTGTTTTTCTTTCCATGAGGTCAGAGCCTGGACATGGTATGAACTGAATATAACACCAGGCACTCTGCGCTTGCTTCTTTTGCCTCTCAATGTTTGCTGAAAATCTCTGCTCAGGGAGCTCTCCTACTCCAGAGTATGTTTTCCTTAAAATTATGCTCATTTTATGCAAAAAAAAAAAAAAAAAACCCAAATATGCTATTGCCTGGATGTGAACTGGTGAGTTCCCACAATGCCTTTGTTATGATCAGAGACTTCACCGACAATTTACTAGTAACATTCCCCAAGACTATGGCGAGCTAAGGCATGCAATTTTTTTTTTAAACAAATGTATGTATTTCCAGCATTGATGGAAAAAATCACTTTAGACAAAAATTAACAGAAACACTGTAATCATTCCATTGATTGTAACAGGAAATCGTGGGTTTGTATAAGTTTGGTCTATAAGAAAACATTTAAAATTGGATATAAAGAAAGAGTAAGGTTTTTGTTTGACGTTGCTTTTTGAGGTGGAGTCTCAACATGTCGCCCAAGCTGGCCTTAAACTCCTGGACTCATGGTCCTCCTGCCTGAGTCTCCCCAGGGCTAGGACTGCAGGCATGCCACAACACACCAGCCTTGAAGTGGAAAGCCTGCTGCTACAGTTGATTTTCGAATATTTATTTACTGAATGACCATTTAAGTTCCTAAAACTAATTTAAGAAGCCTGTGACTAAAGAGTACTACAGAAGTACATTCGGAAAAAAAAAAAAAAAGAAGTACATTCAGTGGGCGATCAAAGCAAGGAACAAATTCATTTGTTGTGCGTTAAAATTTCTTTTACTATTACACTCTACTAATCATGATGCTATAGGGAAAACCAAATGCAAACAATCAAAGCACACTCTCTTGAGCGATCTTAACATTCTTACCACAGTTAAAATTCTAGTGGTTTTTAAAAGTTTTTGGTGGTACTGGGGTTTGAACTCAAGGACTCACGCTTGCTAGGCAGGTGCTGTATGGCTCGTGCTGCTCTGCCAGCCCCCCACGTGTTTTAATTTAGTTGGTGGAATTCAGGTGTAGACTCTCAGACCTTCCCTGCAATAACTCTGTATTGATAAACCTCTAACTTTCTTTTAATAAAAATATACTTAAATTTTAATCTTTAAATTTTTTTTAAAGTGCTCTAGATGAAAGAAGGACGGAGAGGTCTTTTTCTGAAATGATCAGGCAGCTAGTTAATTTGTGCTTCTTGTTTATTTATTTTTTCTCAGCAGACTGAAGACAGAGCACCTGCTTTGCAAGCACAAAGCCCTGAGTTTAAACCCTGGTTCCACCAAAAAAAAAAAAAAAAAAATCCCAGCAAGAAAGAATTCTAAAAAAATAAAATGTTATGTATACACAAATATATATACTTTTATTAGCCTAGAAAAAAGTCTGAAAGAAGACACCATAAAATGTAAACATCTGTCATTTTTAGATAGCAAGATTATGGTTACTTTTATTTTTCTATTTTGATTCATTTACATAAAACTTTAAGATGTTTAAAAGTGAAGATGTTTTAGGTCAAGCCGGGCATTGTAGTACATGCCTTTAATTCCAGGAGGATTGCAAGTTCCATACTGGCCTAGGCGACACTTGAAACTAGCTCAAGAACACCACACACAGTACTGTAAGCCATTAGGAATGATGGTAACTACAAGTACTTCAAAATATCTACAGGGAAATATATAGGATTATGCTTGGCACTGGCTTGATATTTACACTCACAGCTTTCAAAAATACTGTCCTGAGATTATAGCACCTTCCTGAAGTAACTTTTCACTGCTCTACTGAAAGGTAGACAGTCACATGAAGCAATGAACCAACCATGCCCACTCTGGCAGCAGATCCAGATGTGAAATCTGGATCACCGCTGCAGGTAATGAGACTGGCTGGTGGAAAAATAGACTTTGATTTTATTTTTTGAGGTGCTGGGGCTTGAACTTGGGGTTTCATGCTTGCATGTCAGGTGCTCTACTGCTTGAGCCACACCTCCAGCCTGAGAAATAGAATTTAGTAAAACGAAACAGGATATGAAGAAGCTTATTCAAGTGTAGCTCCCCAGTCTCCAGAGCCTGGGATGTGAGGAGTGCACTTCTCAGAAGCGCTCCTGATTCCGCTGTGCTACATCCAGTGGGATGCTAGGGTCAAGGCAGCATTCTAATCAACCGTTTCTCTCTTCCGACGCTTCCCACGTATCTAGAGCCTCCTGTCTTCAGTGGTGAGTCTGGGGCTGATCTGACATTCTTAAGTGCTATTCACAAGTTACAAGATTGCTTTGCAAACAGTGTCAAATTCAGAAGCGCTGAATAGTTCCATGATCTACTTATAAAAAGTATGTGCAAATCACTCAATAATACATGGATTGCAACACAGTAAACGGGAAAAATTCTCAAGAACCAAGTATAAATTACACATTATTTACAAGCTGCAAAAGCTGTTACATTTACAGAAAGGCAAAGTCACTATAAAAATGTAGGGTGTATGTGGGGGGGGGAGGGCAGGGTGGAGAAATGACCCAAACAATGTATGCACATGTGAATAAATGAATAAAAAAAAATGTAGGATGAACAGTTGGAGGAAAACAGCTTACCTTGAGATAACTGTGTCTTTATAGATCTTGTGTCCTGTGTAAAGGCAGAACCAACCGCACTGTTTTGGGATAAGGTACCACTGTTTGATGTTTCTGTTCCAAAGGAGGTCAAGGAGCTTCCAGCTTGAAGAGATTTTTTTTAATAAAAATATTTTAAAATGCTTTACATCCTCAATTATATACTCCTAATATACACCCCTCCGGTGGCACTTGAAAGTCCAGTGTCCTTGAACAACAAGCAATTTTTAGAACACATGTAGGCGACAAGCAGGACACACATCAGATAGCAAAGCAACAGAAACAGAACAGTCTACACCACGTTCTGTTTAGTTGTTCTATCTGGGTAAATAGCCAAATTAGCAGGCACGAGCTCTTTTAGCATTTTAAACACAACAGACTCCACTTCAGTTCCTTCCCTTAAGACAGGACTGCATTCTGCCTAACAGCAGCCACACAAAAGTGTGTAGTATGAGGAAGAAACCCCTTGCAAGGACCTGATCTCTGCTATACTTGGTCATGCTGGTCTTCCCCAGATGTCTGCAATATAAGGGAACGTCTGTTTTTTACATTTTGTGCTCTCGGCTTGCTGAATATTTCATCTGTGAAGGTTTTCTCCGTATTCCAATAGTCCCTATTCCCTAACCTCTAAACCAAGCTAAGATGGTAGACTGTCTTTTATAAATGTGGTCTCATTATTAGTGTTTAGGAATCTCTACGACTTCCAATATCCTCAAGAGAAGTTTTAGGTGACTTACCTTCATTTGCAGGGTGCTCCCTGCCTCACCTGCCCTCCCTCCCCCTCACCCGCCTGCCTGTCTCACATCACCTTCCTTCTTCTTACCAACTTGCCCACAGAGGCAGTTTGCAGTTCTGCTTCTCAAATACACAGAACTGTGATCCTGCCTCTTGCGGTCAGCTCACATCCAGGGTAGACAACTCCAGCTCAGCCATTACTAACCTCACTCTGCCTCCTCCCCTCTGAATTCTACTTGCTCACTCCCTCTTGAAAAGAGGCATCAGAATGTAGCTCAGCATCTCAGAGAGGGGAGCCTGCCTTGGATGTACACTCCCTTCAGGCTGTGCTCCAGCTAGCTCAGGAACTGACCCAACAGAACCTGCTGCAGTGTCCCTGGGGGAGCTGTGGTAAGCTAGGGAGCCGAAGCTGTGGCATCACCCCAGTGTTCTCCAGCAATGGCCGATCACTACTGCGATCAGCACAGCTCTTCTGATGGTATGTACTCTTGCCCCTATGCTGCCCTCTGGATCCGCAATCAAGGGCTACCTAATCTACATCTCTTCTCTGACTGCCTGCTTACACCACACACTCTATTCCTGCCCTAAGTCTGCTACTAATGAATGTCTATAATCTACATCAAATTCTTTTTTTCTGTTTTTTTGCCCAGGCAGGTCTGACACTGCAATCCTCTCACCTCCCCAGCAGCCTGTGTTGACACTACATCTGGCTTGTTTTGAGACAGGGTTTCCATAACTTTTGTGTGGGCTAGTCTTGAACTGTGACCCTCCTGCCTCAGTATCCTGAATGCTGGGATCACAGGCAAGAGCTACCACCCCCGGCTAGCACCATTTGTGGTAAGCCAGTATTTGAGCAGGCCTATCTCTTGTATATTCTATACTCTTTTCTCTTGTGTATTTGGGTATATGCCAGTAATTCACAGCTCTGATTACTGTAGCTTTGCAATAAGTCTTGAACTTGGGGGTGGGTGGCACAAAACTTTTCAAGATTGTCCTGGCTGCTCTAAGTTTTGAATTTCCAGGTAAATTTAGGAACCCACATATCAGTTTCTATTTTAAAAAGGCCTCCTGGAATTTTGACTAGAATTACAATGAATCTGTAAATCACATTAGAAAAATGAGATAGGTCAATTCTCCATTCATTGTGATCTTTACTCTCTTGGCCACTCTGGTTTTCACTGCAGCAGGATTTCTCAACTTCAGCATGTTACATTATGGGTCAGGTAACTCCTTGTTGTGGGGCAGACTTAGCACCATCCCCTCCTTGGAACAACCAAAAACATCACCATACATTTCACTGCTTTGTCCCTTGGGGTCCCTCAAGTGAGAACTAGCATTACAGACAGACGTTTTTAAGTATCTTCTGTTATATTATAAATTCCTGGGTATCTGATGTTTATTGGTGCCACTGTAAGCAGGGGGGTGTTATACATGTCAATGCCCAATATTCAGGCGAGCAAAGGTTTTAAGTGGTCATGTGGTTAAAAAAAAAAAACAAAAAAAGAATACATAAGCTTTGCCAGGCATAGGACCCCACCACAATCACTGTCCCAGTAGTGCAGAAATAGCCACAAGCAACACATAAATAACTGAGTACATATATTACAATTCTTAAACTTTATTTACAAAAACAGGAGGCTGGCTGGATGTGGCCTATGGGTAAGTTCTGTACACTTACCATATATCTATCCCCTGTATCATGCTTAATTTACACAGTCATTCCAATGGTATGACTGTTCCTTTGCATTCTATGAAGCCTTGATTTTTCTTGTCTTAGTAAACTGGCTAGTACCTCCAAGACAACACCAAATAGAATCGCAAGACATAGTTTTGCCTTTGCTTATTCCTGACCAGGGAGGAAAACTTTCATTACTTCACCCTTATTTATTACTTTGCTCATGACTGACAGGTTCCCTAGGTGTGGAAAAATGGATGTTAAATTTATAAAACACCTTTTTTGCTGTCTCCAGATGACTGCAGGTCCTCCTGCAGTCAATGTGGTAATCATTAATGACTAAATGCTGAAGCAGCTTGGCAGTCCTGGCTACACCTTGCCTGTCATCACACACTGCCCTACTCAGAGGATTTTCACGTCTATGTTCATGGCAGACAGTGCTCTGGGATTCCTTTTCTCACACTGGCGACGGTCTCCTCAGATTTGACATCGCAGTTATTGGGTAGTCATTGTTTTCCTCTTCCTCAAGTCTTTGAACAGGTTTAGGGTTCGTGGAAACAGTACACCTTCTCTACATGTATGGCAGAATTTATCAGTAAACCAAACAGTCCAGAATTTTCTTCTTCGAGACTACGTAACCCAGGCTGGACTGAAACTCTCCAGTGGCTCAGACCACATGGTTTGAAGCAAGAGCCTGAAACATGCGCTCTTGCCTCTGCCTCCCGGGCGGTGGGTTACAGGCATGGGCCACCATGCCCCGTTTTTTGTGATAGGTTTTAAACTTCAATTTCAACTTTATTGCTGGACAGAGTTGACCTCAAGATTTTGCTGGTATGCTGATTTTAAGAAGTTTGTATTCTTTCAAGGACTCTGTCACTGTCAATTTCATCTAAATTGTCAAACTTGTTGCATAAGGTCATTCTCCATAATATCCTTATTCTCCCCCCACCTTAAAAAAAAAAAGAGAGACTGGGTGTCACTGTGTTAAGCAATCCTGCCTCAGCCTCCCAAGTGCTGGAGTTGCAGGTGTGCGCCACCACACCTATTTTACCTTGACAGGTCTACTTTTTTGCTTAGATGAGCTATAATTACTGTGACCCTTTTCCCTCAGATACTTCAGGCACCATCTCCTCCAGACAGACATTCCCCACGTGGTTAATCACAACCCCATCACCTCACCTAAGCAAATCAGCAGCAGTGAATGGCTGGTCTGCTCCCAGTAGCCCCTAAAACGTTCTTTATGCTAGCTGTTCTCTGAGTTGTTTGTTATGCAGTGCTAGATGGAACCCAGGGCTTTGCACACACTATGCAAGTGCTCTATCCCTGAGCTGCACCCCCAGCCCATGCTGACTCTTTGCAAACCCACAATCCATTTGCACACTGCATTTGGATGGCGCTCTCAGTCCCCCAGTCTAAACAGTTCCGCCTTTGTGTTTGAGTAACACTGAATCCTTCAGAGTCGGGTGAGTGTTCTGCAGAACACCCCCTCTTCTCACCTCTGTGTTCAGTTCTTCATCGTGAGATTCAGTACCACCACCACAAAGGTGATGCACTCCTCCCTCTCCCCCAGTCATCGAGCCAGGAGACACAGTAATTTAACTATGGCAACACTGAATTTGACCACTGAACTAAGAGGGCAACTGCTTCACCTTTCTATTTCTACTTAGTAAGCAGCATGTTCTAACATGCTTTCCCAATGACTTCAGCCCTCACTATAAACAGGACACTAGAGTTTATGAACCGGTGGCTCCACGGACTGAGCTTCCCCATCCAAGTGTGTGGGTCTAGAAGTATCTCAGATGCCAGATTTTGGACGTTTCTACGTGCAATTCATATTTTAGGGATGGGCCCTAAGTCTACACATGAACTTCACTTATGGTTTCTATACCCTTATACAACTACCCTGAATGCACTTTTATATGCTATTTTAAATAATTTTGTGCATAAAACAAAGTTTGGATACATCAGATCAAGTATGAATTTCCACACGTGGCATCATGTTTGGGGTCAAAAAGTTTCAGATTTCGATTTGGGCGTGGTGGCATATCTCTGTAATCCCAGCACTCTAAGGGTCGAGGCAAGAGGACTTCGAGTTTAAGGCAGCCTGGGATACAGAGCAAGCATCTGTCTGAAAGAGGAAGGGAGGGAGGGTAGAAAAGAAAATTTCAGATTTTGGAGGATTTCACATTAGGGAAGACAATGTGTACCCACCACTCCTACTTATTAGCAGGTTTTTTTTTTTTTTTTTGTGGGGGTGCGGTGGGGTAGGAATCAGAAGAGCCTTTCTTGTCCTCATTTTTCAAGGGCCCTGGTTCCATTGAGAAATGGTTATTGAGAAACCAGGAACTAAGGTTATGTATGTCCCTTGCTACCTCTGCTTCTATGAACAGAGCCAGGAAACAACTTTTCTAAAAAGTGCCTTCACTCTGTCCCTTCAGTGCACATTCAGTACTGCAGGCTCCTCACCGTTCCTATCACCTGCACCCTCCACAGTAAGAACACTGCTCCCCAACACCAGTGTTACTCACTGCCCGTCCTCTAACACCCACACCATTGAAAACAGCTCAAGGATTAACACAAATGACATCACTGATCACAAAACTAAGTCAGCTTCCTCTAGGGTTCCATTTGTTCTTAAAAATACATGCTACTGAGAAAAATGTGAATTCATTCTCTTGTAGCTATTCAATCAGTTTGACATAGTCAGCACCAGTTGTTTCTGTTCGGGTTCGCTCACTTTTAGAGTTTGGTTTTTTCCTCATTCTTTTTTGTGAGTAAGTAAAACTTTTATAGTTGAGAGGTGTGGCTCAAGCAGTAGAGTGCCTGCCAACCACATGCAAGGCCCTCAGTTCAAGCACCAGTACCACCAAGAAAAGAGTAAAACCTTCACATAACTGAAAAGTCACAACTATATAAAAATTCCTTCCTCTGTATGAAGGAATTAAGTAATTTTAACAAAACTTGTTAGGATACTAAAGAATTTCAAGATACATTTGAAACTGGATTTAGGAATGAATGAAACAAAAAGTAAACATAAATAATTATTTCAGTACACTTAAAACATTGAAGGCTAGAGCCTGAGATTTAAAGTTATTACTATTATTTTTGTGGTGCTGGGGATCAAACCTAGGGCCTCACACTTGCCAGGCAAGCACCTAGCACAGAGCTACATCCTTAGCTCTGAAGTTACTCTTTAATGTCAGTGAAGATTGTATTTAAGGGCTAAAGTGCATAGCTATATAATAACTCATCGGTTTACATCTAGCTTTTGTACTCAGTGGCCTTTGATCATAAGTAGGGCTCTGATTAGCCCAGACTTCAACATATTCTTAATACATTTTATGCTTCAAAAAACACTGCTATAGGCTGAACACGACAGTGTATGCTTGTAATTCCAGGTATTCAGGAGGATCACAGGAGAATTACAAGCTTGAGGCCAGCCTGGCCTCAAAAATGACTGTAGAGACTGTTCCAATAAAACACCAAGCCCTCAAATACGCATGTGGGACTCTGTCCCCTCGGTGGGTGTTTAAAGGTTTAAAAGTATTTAATCATCCACACTCTACCTAATATAAGTCATATGCTTTGGGCTGCGTACAGTGGCTCACACCTGTAATCCAGCTACCCAGGAGGATCACGGTTTGAGGTCAGTTCAGGCAAAAAGTCATCAAGACCCCAATTCAATCAATAAAGCTGGGTGTGGTGGTGGCTGTCCTCCTAGCTACTTGGAATGCTTAAGTAGGAGGAGCAGTCTAGGTGAAAAACTGGGCAACTAAACAAACAAAACAAAAAAAAACCTGCCAAGCAACAACAAAGACAATGTTATTACCAGTCTCTAATGACACTATTTCTAATCTTTTGGTTGAATGTTTTTTGATGTTGTCTTTTTAAACTCAGGGCCTCACATTTGCTAGGCAGGTGCTCTACCGCTTCAGCCACTCAACCAGCCCATGGTGTGGTTTTGATACAGGCTTTTGCTATGTAGCCCAGGGTAGCTTCACACCTGCGCCCTCCTGCCTTAGTCTCACACCTGTAACCCTAGCTACTTGGGAAGCTGAGATCAAGAAGATCACAGTTTGGAGCCAGCCCTGGACAGATAGTTCACAAGACTCCATCTCCAAAATAACCAGGATAAAATGGAGTGGAGGCGTGCCTCAAATGTCAGAGCACTTGACTAGCAAGCATGAATCAGGGTTCAAACCCCAGTTCCACTTAAAAAAAAAAAAAAAAAAAGGCGGGGGGACATATATAAAAATTTAAAATATCTAGTTTTGTAATACACAGCTATTACTAAAGCTGATGTCTGTGATATCACCAAGGATGTTAAATAAAAACTTTAAGAAACTTAAGAAAGCTACAAAAGGAACATGGAACATTCCCGACAGTTTGCGACACTTTTCTGTACGTCTGTGGTAAAGACAGTAGTAAGAAAAGGCTCCACGTACCAACACCAACTGCACCAAACTGCTGCCCAACTAACGTGCTGGGGCTGAACTGGCTGTATGTCGGCATCCTGCCAAAGGGGCCATAGGATCCCACGGACTGGAATGAAGATGATGACGACCCTAGTGAAGACTGAAAGAAAACCGGGGCTATTTTTGTAAGCTGTAAGAAGCATGTATCACAGAAAGAAATTAAGATATCTTATATATTTTATGCTCTGGAAAAAAAACCCGGAAATATATGTTATAAACTTTCTTGCTTTCTCTTTCACTTCAATTTTATAAAATTTTAATATATATGTTACACACACACTTTTTTTTTTTTTTGAGACAGTCTCACTAGCCCAGATTGGCCTCAAACTCATGATGCCCACAGCCCCCCCACCCCCTAACCTCTTACATGCTGGGATTACAAGTGTGCACCACCACACTTGGCTTATATTTTCTTTAGAAGAGCTGACTAGGTAAGTATTTTCCTTTAATGGCTGGAAGTAAGAAAAACCTTACAAACATACGTATCTCAAGAGTTTAGATTAAGGGGAGTAGCTCAAGTAGTAGAGGGCTTGCCTATCATGCTTGAGGCCGGGAGCCCAATTCCCGCCCCCTCAAAATGATTAAAAGAATCTATTTTGAGGACAACTAAGAAACATTTGCTGCATAAAAAAGTGAAAATGGTGATTTAAAACACCCAGAACACTGCTAAAAACCAACAAGCACATTTCTGTGCAAATGACAAAGATTTATGACAGGAAGGAGGCTAAGAAGAATGTGAATGTGGGAAGGAACCGTGGGAGAGTCACAGCTTCGAATTTGCTATGCTCGAATCAAAGCTTTCGGACGTGACGCTGCTTCTTCCGTCACAGCTACACTTCAGACAGCTTTATATGCATCCAAGGAATATAGAAACGATAATGGCTGTCCTCTTTAATTCGTAGTAACTGTTTATCAACATCAGGTGCTTCTAGTTTTAATAAAATACGTTAATTTCTAATTCTTTCTTTCTTTTACTTAGGGTTATTTTTAATTTAGGAATTTAAGAACTTATCTGTTAAGATCCTTTCATGTCTGTGCCATCTTATTATATGTCAGGTCCCGTCATACATATATCCTGTGATTACGCCCAGCCCTAGTGATTTTACCCAAGAGTAGCTATTATCGCCCTAATTTGTAATAGGAACCATTATCTGAATGTATGCTTGCATGGTTCCTAGATTCTGTAGCCACATGGCCTTGGTCTCCATCTCAATTTCTTCCCGTGTACAGGTGACAAAAGTGACTGTGCCACACTCGAAGGATATTGTGAGGAGTCATTCACAAGTACAGTGTTGTATTTTGAGTAGCGCTCCTCATACAGTTAGCGCTCAATAAGTGTTACCACGCTAACATTATTCTGGTGCTGAACATACAACCTCATGTAGTCCAATTCAGGATCCTAAGAGAAAACCCTAGGTCAGAACATCACGCAGGGAACGTCAGGCATCCCAGGAAACGTGCACAAACTGTTCAGGAAGAGGCAAGGCCAACCCGAGCCACGTGGGCAGCGGGCTTGCTCCCGGGCAGGGTGACCAGCAGTTACCTGCACGATGGCGGGGTCCTGCGGCAGGGAGCACTGCGGTTTCGGCGGCTCACAGACAGTGAGGTCTTTAATGTCACTGCCACGGAATATGATGTACTCGAACACTTCATCCCGAGGTGGGATCGGGCGGTCTGTTGGTCTGTCCTCTGTACCAAACGACCGAACTGGTGAGAAAGCAGAAACCATGCGTGAGATGCAGGCCTAGTAGTCACCGTGTTCAAGTAGGACTAAGCACCCTGCTCCAAGAAGCAGGCAGCAGCTCTACAGTGCCACCTGTGGACGCGCTCATTCATCTCCAGCCAAACCATTCCCGAAGAGCGGGCTGTGCTCACCATCCAACGTGCCTGACCTGCACAACGATCAGTTATCACGAGGCTGTGTGCCTCCTAAAACTGTACGTATGCTCTTGGTGAGGTACTGAAATGTCCTTTCTTGCATTGCTGACTTATTTTTAATGTCTTCATTCAGCAAAATAAAAATTTCACAACCAGGCTGGGGTTGTAGCTGAAGTGGTAGAATGCCTGCCTAGCAAGACCCTCAGTTCAAATCCCAGACCCTATTCCCACCCCGCCACACACACACATACACACAAAGGTAGCAACCTATGTCATACTTTTTGGGTGGGGAGGAGTGACAACATTTTTCCCAGTCCACAAATCCAAAATTTGAGGGTTTTTCATTGATTCTGGGGTTTGAACTCAGGGCCTACAACTTGAGCTACTCCACCAACCCTCTTTTTTGTTGGTTTTTTTGAGATAGGGCCTTGAGAACTATTTGCCCGGGCTGGTTTTGAACAGTGATCCTCCTGATCTCTGCCTCCCGAGTAGCTAGGATTACAGGTGTGAGCCACTGGCCCTAGAGTTTGAGTTTTGAGACAAAAGAGAAGACAGCAACGGTAACCTGTATCTTGGTGACTAAGTCCTTTCAGAGCTGAGCAGAGCAGAGCCACTGTCAGTTCTTCAGACCACCAGGCAGCCTGAAACACCCTCATTACCTAAAAGAGCTACCACGTAACTAAATCTCACTGTTACCCTGGAAGACAGGTCACTCAAACTGTCATCTGCCTTTGTCAGTGGAAGCTGGCTCCAAATGAAGATTGCCACTGAAGTTAGAATTCTGTGGCAGGGCTCGGAAATCTGCGTTTTAAACCAGTTCCCCGAGTCTCATCTACCGAAGTTTCAGATTCCCTGTCTTAGAAGACTTCTGCAAATGTCCGCATCATGGAATAAGACTGAACTGTACACACTACGAACTTGGTGAAACAAGTGCTAACGATGGAGGCTGGCTTGGGTCAGATGCAGAGTTTTCAAAAGAACGCAATTCTTTTTTTTTTTGGTGGCACTGAGGTTTGAACTCAAGGCCTCACCCACTCTACCATTTGAGCCACTCTGCCAGCCCTTTTTTGTGAAGGTTTTTTTCAAGATAGGGTCTCCTGAACTATTTGCCCGGGCTGGCTTCGAACCTTGATTCTCCTGATCTCTGCCTCCTAAGTAGCCAGGATTACAGGTGTGAGTGACTGGCACTGGCGCCTGGCTCAGAAGAATGTAATTGTTAAGCACTGTAAAGAAGAAAGTAGAAGAGTGTGCTCAGGGTCCACACATGCCTGGAAGGCAGCTGTAGGCAAGGGAAGGTCCTGAGGGAAGGAGAGGCATGGCAAGCATAGGAAGGGTGGAATCCCCGTGCTCCTCTGCACAACACAGACAGCATTTCAACATACAAACCCTAAGTGAAGGCTCTGTGTTGGTACTTTCAGAAGTGAAATTGAACCCCTCACCCCTGTGCTTCCTAACATTACTATTTCCACTTGCAACTACAGCAAAACAACCCAGCAAGCCATGGAGGGAAAGTGTTTGGTGGCTGCGTGCCCCGGGGTTCCTCTCGGCTCCTTTTGGCTGCACACTTGGCCTTGTAAGAGCTTACTGCATGATTCCCCTCATGCTGATTCAGTTTCCTCACCTCCAGCAGCAGCCTCAGCTCCTCCATCAGGCTGCTTTCTCCTTTGCAGTTTTAGGAAAGTGCTGAACTGATTGGAATTCATACTTTGGGACTTTAGTGTGCTCTTTAAGAGGCAGCATTCTCAAGGCTTTCAGTGCTCAAATTATAAAGCTGTACAAATTTTAAACGTCCTGCCCTCTAATCTTCCTTTATCATAAAACCGTACTCTTCTTGTGACACAGAGGCTCGAACTCAGGGCCTCACGCTTGCTAGGCAGGCGCTCGACCACTTAAGCCACTCCACCAGCCCCAAATCCTTATTGTTCATGCAGGAAGGTCAACATCCTGTTATGCCCTAATGATACTCTGAAGTCAGAATGGGGCTGGGAAGAAAAACAACCCGATTCTGTGATATTCTGGGCTACAGTGAATTAATGAAAACCCAACAATCTAGCAGGTTTTAGTAGTTCAGTGACACTTTTACTGTCACAGCACAGCAGCTGCTGCACCCTCAGGGAACTCACAGTGTAGCAAAGGTACTAAGCATGACACAGGAAAGAAAACCCACAGGTACATTATAGTTTGCTAGGGCTGCCAAAACTTCAAGTCTTCACTTAGGTCACAAAGAAACTCGTACAAAAATGTCTGTAGCGCATCATTCATACTAGCCAAACAGTGGAAACAACACAAATGCCCAGCAACTCATGCGTGGACAGACTGTGATGCACCAACATCACACACCACACACTGCACTGCACATGGAGGAATGAAATGCTGGCATGTCACAGCTGCAGAACGTACCACAGCATTACGCTGAGTGAAAGGAGGAGGCCAAAGCCACACGTGAGGACTCCTGTTACATGACGTACCCAGAATAGGAAAAGCCAGGACACAGAAAGTGTATTAGTGGCTACTGGGAATGGAGTGGAGGCAGGGGACTGACTCCGCCACCTGTCACTGACTTCATCATTTTCATCATCTAGTGCTATGCTTTCTGAATTGTAACTCATGAACATGCAAATGCAGCCGGGTGCTATGGCTCATGCCTGTAATTCCAGCTACTCAGGAGGCAGAGATCAGGAGGATTGTGGTTCAAAGCCAGCTGGGGCAAATAGCTGGTGAGACACTCTGTTGAAAAAGCCCAACACAAAAAAGGACTGGTGGAGTGGCTCAAGGTGAAGGCCCTGAGTTCAAGTCCGAGTACTGCACCAAACAAACAAAAACAAACCTATGCCAACACACGAAATGGTAATAGGAGTTGGGTGAAGGGTGAGAGCAGGGGTGGCTGTCCTCTAGATTTGTCCTATTGCTAGGATGCTTTAATGAGTGCTGTACCTCTGCTTCCCCCCCAAATTATATGTTTAATAAAAGAGAATGGAAAATATTTTTCTGTTAGTTTAAATCAGATAGGGTCAAGTTATCTGGCAGAGGTCTCTAGATCAAGGCAAGTTCACACATCACCATAATGGCAAACCCAGCCGCTCGTGTACACGAGCAGTGCATGACATTTCTGATATAACGCCTCTATTATAAAATACCCAAAGTTTCCAAGCTCAAATATGATAAGCATTATGCACTTGAAATACTAAGTTAGGCTAGACTCTCAAGATGATGTCTGTCACTGAGCTTTCCCAAAGCCTTACCTTTCTGATGTGCTAACATTGTAACGTAGGTTTTACTACAGACTGGCATGGAGAAGAAACAAGTTCTCTCAGTACCAAATGTGAGGCCAACACAGGCCAGGCTGGATTATCCAGGAGGGGCCAATGAAGCTAAGAAACCACAGCCAAGTGAGTTCAGGATGGAACCTAGGATGGGACTGCTGACCAGGTGAAAGCTGAAAGTCCTCAGCCACTATCCACTGAGGACCTGCTCCACACCTACCTCACCTCCAGTCCAGCTCATTTTTCTCACCCCCACACTTAAACTCCCCAAATGACAACGTGAGATACTGCTGGCACTCCTTAAGGCTCTGCAGGGAAAGAGAGTGGCAGGACGCGCGGGTGTCGGATCTGCAGAGTTTAGTTGAGGGAACCGGCCCGTGGATGTGGTGTCTCTCCCTCCCAGGCGGGTCACAGAAAACGTGAGCCTCCCCTCTTCAAAGTTCCCTGAGCTACCTGTCCAGCAGCAGTTTGGATGCACAGGAAGCCCCTGCGCACTCCAGAAAGGACGAGTGCTGCAGAGAGCCCCACAAAGGAAGGGCACGCAGACTGAGCCGGCTTCTTCCACTGTTACGTTAGGCCACACCCTTTTGGTCCAACCCCACTTCCACACAGGTTTGTGTGCCCATCACACCCGGGCAATGAAGTCTCCAGAAGAACCAGAGAGCACAGGGTTCAGAGAGCTGGAGGCCGCTGGAGGGTGGGCACCGGGAGAGGGCAGGGAAGGCCAGGCCGCTTACCCCCTGCCTCATGCGCCTGTCACCCGATTCCTTTGTGCTTTCATTCATTATAAGCCAGTGAACGTGATTCCCTGAGCTCTGAGTCACAGGGTTCATCAAACCCAAGGAGGGGGCACCGGGGACCCTGGTCCATCAGCATGGGTAAACCTGGGCTGTGTGACTAGCACCTGAAGTAGGGAGGGGACACTCTAGGGACTGAGCCCAAAAGCTGTGGGACGCTACCTCCAGGTGAATAGTATCAGAATTAATTTCAGCAACACTGTGCTCATCTGCTGGTACAGTTGCCTACTTGTTGGTGAAGAGCAATCACCAAGTTGTTAGGGTCTCAGAAGGCTTCTGTGTTGACCGTTTCAGGAGCACAGGAAAAAAAGGTGATTTGCTTTTCTGATGAGTCAGGTATATCCGCAATCTTCAGAGTGGGCTGGTAGAATCCCTACTTGCCCACAGGAGGCCAGTCTTTGTTCTGTTAGGCCTTCAACTGATTAGAAGAGGCCCACCCACATTATGAAATCTACCCATTTAAATGTTAATCTTACCTCCCCCAAAAATACTCTTCACAGAAGCAAGCAGAATGTGTGACTCAGTGTGTAGGCACTACACCCCACAGACACACAGTATTAACCATGACATGATTCTACCCAGCATGGGTTCCTCTGAAAAACTGTGTTCTATGTATACCTCCCCTACTAGAATTTAAAGATGCTCAGGAAAAAGATCTGTACCCACATCATCCTCATGACTCATGCAGATCTCCATGTCTACAGAAGGCTGGCATGTGAATGTATCTTGACTAGACCCCAGTGGGGAAGGGTGCTAAGTAAAAAGAGTT